GGGAATGATACTGTATCTTGGACCTTCTGGACTAGAAATATAAGGATACCACTTCTTTTGAACAAGCTGAATGCATGTCCTTCTTGAGATGGGAAGCTCAGAGACAATGTTTGTCTTATGCTAGATGATACGCATTTATGATCACCTATAGGAAAAGGATATCAAGGTAACTAAGAATTTTTGCTTCATGGGATTTATCAGTTAAGAGTTGAGACACTTTGGGCGCCTGGGTGGCTCAGTTGGTTGAGCGACTGCCTTCGGCTCAGGTCATGATCCTGGAGTCCCTGGATCGAGTCCCGCATCGGGCTCCCTGCTCGGCAGGGAGTCTGCTTCTTCCTCTGACCCTCCCCCCTCTCATGCTCTCTCTATCTCATTCTCTCTCTCAAATAAATAAATAAAATCTTAAAAAAAAAAAAGAGTTGAGACACTTTATTGGGGCGCCTGGCTGGCTCAGTCAGTAGAGCATGAGACTCTTGATCTTGGGGTTGTAAGTTTAAGCCCCATGTTGGGTGTAGAGATTGCTTAAAAATAAAATCTTAAAAAGTTGAGACACTTTATAAAAAAAACCTTATATTTTAGAATAGTTGGCAATAATTAATTAGTTTTTACGGTCAACTATGAAATATTAGTTTTTGGATAAGAATCCCATGAAGTAGAAATTTTACTCAATTTCTCTGGTGTACTTTTCACAGCTGTTATTTTGGGGGGTACTCTAGGAAGAAGAATGGCTTAAAGCTGTGGGTTCTTTGTGTTGTTGTTGTTGTTTTTTAATTGAATATTTTGGTTTTTCCCCCAAACAGGTATTTTATGAAACCTATTTTAAAATGTTCCTAGCAAAATATTATTGGTCTTTTATATGTGGAGTAGATTCACTTTTTTTTAAAGCATTTTTTATAAAGATTTTATTTATTCATTTGAGACACAAAGATACAGAGGGAGAGAGAGAGAGAGGAGGAGCAGGGGGAGAGGCAGAGGGAGAGGGAGAAGCAGGCTTCCTGCTGAGCCAGGAGCCCGATGTGGGGCTCAATCGCAGGACCCTGGGATCATGACCTGAGCCGAAGGCAGACACTTAACCATCTGAGCTACCCAGGCACCCCGGAGTAGATTCACTTTTATATTCTAGAGGGTTTTGTTACTCTATAAGTCAGATGTTTCCAAATGTACTGTAGACCATGCCAGAGTTTTCAATCATGTGCACCAAAATAAGGACATTGTAAAAAGTTTATCATAAAGATCAGTGTATTCAAGTGAAAATATTTATGCTCTTTTACAGTTTTTAATGTTCTAGATGGTGGTAATAAATGGCAGTGGGTTTTTTTTTTTTTAATGTTTTTACATGAGGTTGACTCTTCCCTCAGATCAATTATCTATTAAGTAATATGAGGTCATATTTAATCACCAAGATAGCAGAGCCACATTCCAAGTACTTGCCAGAGAACACATTAACAAATTCACAGGTGTACAATATCCAATCCAGCAAAAGCAAACCTGAGAGAAATTACATTTTAGACAATTGCCTGAAAAGTGTACAATCTGTCCTTCCAGCTACATACTGAAGAATCTCCCTCTGGATTAAACCAGTGGAGAGTGATGTCCCTGGACAGCATCTTAGTGGTCCTCTGTTGAGTTGCTTTTACTGCTCTGTGGTAGGATGCCATTGGCTTAGGTGGGACTTACCTTGTGAAGTGGCCCGATGAATCATGTCCTTGGGTCTCCAGTAAAGCTGTTAGTGAAGGGTTTAATAGTTGTGTTACATAGCAACCTCTTTATGTGGCTCCTAGAGGGAAGTTTCTTTTTGGTCCTAGTATAAGGACCAGTTATAACTGTCTTGAGCAATGGGGTTTGTTTTATTTTACAGCCCGGATGAACTGTGTAACTGATTAAGTTTCCTTCTAGGGTGGGTCCATAAAGTTTAAAGCCATATTTAAGGCCCACTCATTATAAATATATAGTTTTTTTGGAAGAGGCTTTGTAACTTTGATTTTGTTTTATTTACCTTTGAATAGGTAATTCAATCACAGGTTTCAAAAATCAAAGGTGCAAAAGGCTATATGGTTAAAAGGCACCTTTCCACACTGCTTTCCTAGAACCACCTAGTTGGGTTCCCTGGAGGGACCAGTTTCTTATGCATATCAGTTTCTTATGTGTACTTCTGAGTTATTTTCGGCATATATAAGCTCATACATTTTATAGGTTTTTGTGTGTCCATTTTATATTTTTTCTTATCCTTCTCTCAGTTTCTTTTAAAATTAATTTTCCTATTTCTTTCTAATAATTATGAAATAATGCTCATTGCTAATGATTCAGAAAATGAAGAAAAGGTAAAAGAAACCAAACATCTTCTATAATCTTATCAACAGGGATGGTTGCTGTATATTTTTTTTTTTTAAGATTTTATTTATTTGTCAGAGAGAAAGAGCACAAGCAGGGGAAGTGGCAGGCAGAGGGAGAGGGAGAAGCAGGCTCCCTACTGAGCAAGGAACTCAGGGTCCCAGGACCCTGGGATCATGACCTGAGCTGAAGGCAGATGCTTAAGCGAATGACAACCACCTAGGTGTCCCAGATGGTTGCTGTATTTTAAAATTTTTATTTATTTTATTTAATGTCTAAGTTTTATGTTTATTTTGAGGCATTTCTCATTGAATACATAATTCATTTTCTCTCAGTTAAATGGATTAAGGCTTATAAATATTGAAAATAAAATTCGATCATATTGACATGCTGTGTTATGTCCTGCTTTTCATTTAAGAGTATTTCATGGACATCTTTCTTTCCGAAAATGGATATCTGTAATATACTTTTTAATTTTAACTCTTAATTTTGAGATAGTTTTAGATTTTCAAAAAGTTGCAAAATTAGTACAAAGAATTCCTGTTTACCCTTCCCTTAGCGTCTTCTAATGTTAACATCCTACATAACATAGTACACTGATCTAAACCAGAAGATTAACATTCATACAATACTAATAACTAATCTGTTATTAGAATTTTATCAGTTGTACCACTAATGTCCTTTTTATGGTCCATGATTCAGTCCAAAGTCCCACATTGCATTCAGTTATTATGTATCCTTAGTCTCTTCCTATCTGGGACACTTCCTCAGACTTAATATTTTTATTTTTTTTCTTTCTTTTTTTTTTTTTTTTTTTTTTTTTTTTTTTTTAAAGATTTTATTTATTTGACAGAGAGAGACACAGCAAGAGAGGGAACACAAGTAGGGGGAGTGGGAGAGGGAGAAGCAGGCTTCCCGCCGAGCAGGGAGCCCGATGCGGGGCTCGATCCCAGACCCTGGGATCATGACCTGAGCCGAAGGCAGACGCTTAACGACTGAGCCACCCAGGCGCCCCTTATTTTTTTTCTTTCTTTCTTCCTTCCTTCCTTCCTCCTTCCAGAGAGTGTGCGCGTGCGAGTGTGCGCGCGCGCGCGCGCACACACACACACATATATACACACCTGCGTGAGCGGGGAGGGGGAGGAGGGACAGAGAATCTCAAGCAGACTTCCCACTGAGCACAGAGCCGGCTTGGAGCTCCATCCCACGACCCTGAGATCATAACCTGAGCCAAAATCAAGAGTCAGACTCTCAACCGACCGAGCCACCCAGGTGCCCCTTAATATTTTTAAAGAGCACTGGCCTGTTATTTTGTCTCTTGATTTGGGTTTGCCTAGTGTTTTCTCATGATTAGATTGAAGTTACGCTTTTTTGGCAAGGATACCACATTTTTGGCATGAGGACCACAGAAGTGTTTTTGTCTCCATCTCAGTGAATCATTTCAGGAGGTACTTGATGTTGATAATGTGAACTGTTCAACATATTGCTGGGTGATGTTAACTTTGGTCACACGATTAAGGTAGTGAGTGCCAAGTTTGTCCACATAAAATTATTTTTCCCCTTGCAAATATGGTTTCTCATCATATTTTTATTCTCTGATTTTAGTATCCCTTGACAGTCTTGTCTTTCACCACTATTACTGTGGGGTCTGCCAAGTGGTGATTTTCTATTTCCATCTTTTCTTCTACATTTGATACTTACAGATCTCTGTGAAGAAGAGCTTTCTTTTCTCTTCCACTTATTTATTTATTTATTCAATTATTTATACCACAGTATGATTTTTAACTATAAAGTGTTTCTGTCTATGTATCTATACATACACATATACATATCATAAATCATTTAGGTAAATATTAATGGACATTGGGATTATTTTTTTAGTACTCCTAGCACCATAATGAACATACAGTTATTTCCCTAGGATAAATTGCTGTAAGAACAATCACATAGAAAAGCAGGCTCCTGCTGGAAGTGTCAGAAGGCACATACTTAAAAAGTACATATTTCCTTATAGAAAAGTTAATACACATGCCACTCAAACAACACATGAAAGTGACTGCCCATTTCCCTACACTAGGGACAGCATTTCTCACCAGCTTCTGATTTGTTGTCATATTATTTTGGGGAATGGGGCAAAATATATATAAAGGAAACATTTTTTATTTTATTTTATTTTTTTTTAAAGATTTTATTTATTTGAGAGAGAAAGAATGAGACAGAGAGAGCACATGAGAGGGGTTAGGGTCAGAGGGAAAAGCAGACTCCCTGCTGAGCAGGGAGCCTGATGTGGGACTCGATCCCAGGACTCCAGGATCATGACCTGAGCTGAAGGCTGTCGCTTAACCAATGGAGCCACCCAGGCACCCTAAAGGAAACACTTTTTAGAGTGGGTGGAAATCACAAGGAAATCAGAGAAAGCTCATAGTCTAACATAAAACTTTTTCCTGAGAGCTGCCCCACAGTGGAAAGGGATGCTCTGTATGGAAAAAAAGTTCTGCATCATCTGAAGTATTCAAATCAAGATTTAAAGCCACTTGCTGGGAATGAGGTAAAGGGGGTTGGACAAACTGTGAGGCCCTTCTTGTTTTTGGGAGTATCTAATGCTTTGGTCTCTGGCCATCTGCACATGTCTCTGAAGTAAGAGTGAACTTGGATGTCTTACTTTTCAGTGGTTGAAGGCCTCTCACTGTTGGACTTGGGAGTGTCTCCGTATTCTGGAGCAGTATTTCATGAAGTAAGTGTTCTTGTTTTTTTTTCTGAGTACTAAGAGTAGTTTATAGTCACAAATACCAAAGCCTAACCTCTGTTTTGTACAAACATTTGAAAAGATCTATTTTCGAAAATCATGTTTAGAAACAGACCTTTTTTAGATGTCCTCTGCATAAGAAGGAGGTTTCACAATTGCAGTGGAAATGATCCAGATTAAGATTGTAATTTGGGGAAGCAGATGAGACTTCTGTGGAAGTTACCATTTTTATTGGCAAATAAATTATAAACAGTTCCCAGTCCACAAATAAGTTGTATGTTAATTGTCATGTAATTGGTTCTTTGGAACATGCTTTCCCATGAAAACTATGTCAGCAATGCTGGTTTCTTAGAAAGCCCACAGAAGCCTGTTTAACCCGTAACATTAGTTCTTAAAATAGTAAAATCCTTCTTAGGTCACTATCATCTCTTGCTTGGGTTCCTGCAACAGCTTCCTGACAAGTGTTTCTCCATCAGTCTTGCTCCTTTACTCTTTATTCTGCAGCCAGAGTCATCTTTCTGCAATGTGAGTCTGATATTGTTAGTGTCCTGCTTAGTACCTTTGCTCACCACTGAACTCAGGGTAAAACTCAAACACCCTAGGGGGCATACAAAACTGTGTGGGCCCTGCTTACATGAACCACATTTCTTCCCACTCTCCCCTCCCCATTATTGTTCGTTTTATCATTTTAAAGTAGAAGTCTTCTATTTGAATTCTTAACCCCTCATTTTTACAGTTGTCTCCCTCATACCTACTTTGAGAACAATTTTTTCTTTCTTCTTTCTTTCTTCCTTCCTTTCTTTCTTTCTTTCTTTTTCTATCTAGTTTTTTTTAAAGCATCAGCTTGGTTCTCATGGAGATAACAATTGGCTTTTGCATTCATATTTCATTAGTTTTGTATTACTATCTGATTGAACCACAATAATAAGAACTGCAAGCAGGAACAGGGATATTTTAAGACTCTTAATCAGTTATTGGGAACAGATGTGTGTGGGCATATAAAAGCATAGCCCACTAGCCATGAGGGCTCAGTGTGCAATAGTCCTTGGGCAGTATGTTTTCTAGACAGAACAGGAAGAGAGAGTTCTGAGAGAGTTCTCATACTTTCATTATGCTCCAACTCTATATTCTCTCTTACCTATGTGTTTTTGCTCATTTTGTTGTCTCTTTATGGAGGGCTGTTTTTCCCCTCTTTTTGTGGTTGGCTATGCTATGCTATGCTATTTATTTATTTATTTATTAAAGATTTTATTTATTTATCTGACAGAAACACAGCAAGAGAAGGAACACAAGCGGAGGGAGTGGGAGAGGGAGAAGCAGGCTTCCTGCAGAACAGGGAGCCCGATGTAGGGCTCGATCCCAGGACCGTGGGCTCATGACTTGAGCGGAAGGCAGACGCTTAACGGCTGAGCCACAGTCATTAAAGCTCCTGGCTATGCTATTTCAATATTAATTTAGATTTTACCTCCTTCTAGAAGCCATTCCTCATTACGTTAGACCAGTTAGATGTTCTTCCTGAACATTTTTCAAAGCATCTTGTGCTTATACTTTTAACGGCTCATATCGTACTCTTGAAATTGCCTCTGTACTTGTTTTACTTATTATATATTCCTCAGAACAAGTACTGGTACCTTTTCATTAAGTATTTCTAGTGCCTAGCTCTATATCCACATATGAATTCCACTCCCTCCCTTCCTTCTCTCTTTTAATAAAGATTTGTTAAGTACATACCAAATGCCAGCTACCCTGCTAGGTGCTAGGGATACAAAACAAGACATAGTCCTTGGTCTCATGGTATTTATTTCTGAGAGCAACAAACACTAAGTTAGTAAAAAGGAAACAGATTTCAAAACAAAGAATATTACCGGGGTAAAGATGGTTATTTCATAATGATAAAGGGGCCAATTCATCAAGAGAACATAACAGTGCTAATGTTTATGCACCCGATAACAGAGTTTCAGAATACATAAAGACTGACAGAACTACAAGGAGAAGTAGACAAGTCCACAATTATAGTCAGATTTCAATATCCCTCTCTCAAGGATTGACACGACAGGCCGACAGAAAATCAACAAGGATGTAGAAGCCTTGAATAGGATGTCAACCAACTTGACCTCATTGATATTTATAGAACATTCTATCCAACAGCAAAATACATAATCTTTTCAAGTGTACATCTGTAAGAGAGACCATATTCTGGGTCATAAAACAAGGCCCAATAAATTTAGAAGGATTGAAGTGATACAAAGTATATTCTCTGACCACAATGGAATTAAATAAAAAAATTAATACCAGAAAGATGTCTGGAAAATCCCCAAATATTTGGAAACTAACTAACATGCTCCTTAATAACCCATGGATCAAAGAAGAAATCAGAAGGGAAATTAGGAAGTATATTGAACTGAAAGAAAATGAAAACACAACCTATCAAAATATGTGGGATATTACTAAGCAGTGATTGGGGGAAATACATAGTGCTAAATGCCTATGTTGGAAAAGAAGAAAAGTCTCAAATTGATGACCCCTGTTTCTACCTTACGAAACTAGAAAAAGCAGAAATTTACTTCAAAGTAAACAGAATAAAAGAAATAAGATCTGAGTGGGAACAAACAGAAAATAGAAAAACAATAGTGAAAAACACTGAAACACAGTTGGTTCTTTTGTATATGTGCTGCCGAAGCGAGCACGTCACAGTTGGTTCTTTTGGATGAACAGTAAAATTGATAAACATTTGGGAATGGGGATATATTCAGTATCTTGGTTGATGGTTTCATGGGTATATACATAGGTCAAAACTTATCAAATTGTGTACTTTAAATATGTGAAGTTTGTTTTATACTAATTCTACTTCCATAAAGCTAAAGTTAAGAAAAAGTGGGATTTCAGTTAAATGATAAGCAAATACATGTAGAAAAATAAAGCTGGGTAAAGGGATAAAGAGTGATGGTCATGTATGTGTCAGTATTTTAGATGGTGTGTTCCAGGAAGGCACTCCAAGGAAGTGAAATTTGAATAATCAATTTAAATGAAGCTAGCAAGCCAGATATGATGGCCCTGATTTGGGAATGTGGTTGGCATTTGTGAGTTGGATCAATTCTGCATTAGTGTTGCTAAGGCAGAATGAGCAAATAGGAAAATATTAAAGACAAGTTGTGAGAAGTTAGGAGTCAGATTATGTAGCACTTTTTACAGACATGGTTAAGAGTTCAGATTATCTATCTATCTACTGTCTATCATCTATCTATCTGTTTTTAGTATAATTATTATTATTTTTTAAAGATTTTATTTATTTATTTATTTGACAGAGAGAGACACAGAGAGGGAACACAAGCAGGGAGAGCGGGAGAGGGAGAAGCAGGCTTCCTGCTGAGCAGGGAGCCCAATGTGGGGCTTGATCCCAGGACTCTGGGATCACAACCTGAGCTGAAGGCAGATGCTTAACGACTGAGCCACCCAGGCGCCCCAGTGTAATTATTTTTAATGTTTAGAATTTATGAGGCCGAGAGCTTCCTCCCAGACTCAAGTATATAAAATCTCAGTTGGCTGGTGAGGCCAGTTGGGATACTTCTTGTCTAATTTGGTTTCTAGGAAGACTGCATTCAAGTCCTCAGTGGTCATTTGATCAAATGGAATTATGTTCTTCATCTTCTCCAGCTCTCTTGTATTCCTCAGTCCTGGCGAGAGAAAAAACTCAGCACAACTTTTCACATCTTCTTTTTTCTTCAGCATCCTGGCACAGGAACCTTCAGGGCATTAAACTTCTCAAAGTCATTTGCCAAGCCAGCCTTTACCACATTGGCCTTGTGTTAAGTCCAGTTGATAGCAGGTGGATTCTTAGGTAGAGTAGCTAGCTTGGTGGTAAGGGTCTCAATTCCAGGACTTTAGGGAGTTAGCAGTGGCCTTTTGATCTCAGGGTATGATCTCCCAAAGGACTACTTGGTAAATGCCTTTATTTTATTTTATTTATTTATTTAAGATTTTAAGTAATCTCTGCTTCCAACGTGGGGCTTGAACTCACAACCCTGAGATCAAGAGTTGCAGGCTCTACCAACTGAGCCAGCCCTGATGCCCCTAAATGCCTGTTAGAGCAAGTTTTTGCTCAGCCATTTTGAGATCCTTCACCAGCCCTGGTGGCCCACAGTAACAAGTGGATTTTGTTTTTACTATGCTGAGAAAATGGAGACTTCCTAGATTAGGTTATAAAAGACCCTGTGGCTTATATCTTAGACTTTCTCTTTCTTGAAAAGACAGAGAATAGACAACCTTTATGAGGAGTTTGGCTCTAAAGAAGGGCAGGGAAATGGTATAGTAGCTAAAGGCAGATGTATAGTAAAGACATTTTATTTTTTCTTGTTTTTTTTAAAAGATATTATTTATTTGAGAGAGCACATAGGAGTGGTAGGGGGAGGGGCAGAGGGAGAGGGAGAAGCATTTATTTTGGATGAACAGTAAAATTGATAAACATTTGGGAATGAGGATATATTCAGACTCTCCACTGAGCAGGGCTCAATCCCAGGACTGGAGATCAATGACCTGAGCTGAAGGCAGATGCCCAACCAACTGAGTCACCTAGGTGTCCTGTAAAGACGTTTTATTTTTATTTTTATTTTTATTTTTTAAGATTTCACTTATTTATTTGTCAGAGAGAGAGAGTGCAGCAGGCAGAGAGAGATGCAGGCTCCCTGCTGAGCAAGGAGCTCGATGCAGGACTCGATCCCAGGACCCTGGGATCATGACCTGAGCTGAAGGCAGATGCTTAACCGACTGAGCCACTCAGGCGTCCCTGTAAAGACATTTTAAATATGAAAATCTGTTCTATATTTATCACAGCATTGTTTACAATAGCCACAATATGGAAGCAACCCAAGTGTCCAGTGATAGATGAATGCATGTGTGCACACCCACATCCACCCTCCCCCCCCACACACAGTAGAATATTCTTCAGCCATAAAAAAGAATGAGATCTTGGCATTTGAAGCAACAATATG